TTCGAAAACTGCTGGGCATATGTATTTTCGCATCCTGAAATCGTAAGGCCTATTGACAGTGAAATACTCGCGAACACAGAGATAGGGATGAATAAGACAAGTATTGTGTTTGCTTTTCCGATAAATTTCGTTTGAAGGACTGTTCTAGTAGGTCTTCCCATAAAAGATGGGTGATGATAATACGTATTTTATTTCGATAACGTAGTACAGTAATCAAAACATTACTCATTTTACCGAACATGACAATGCCAAGAGAGAGAGTGGGCTCCAACAAAAGCGCGGGATGTCAAAGTATCAGTTCCCCACAAACACCATAAATAATCTAACTATCAGAACATCCTCCTCGTTAAGTTATTAATTATACAACGCCACTTAAAAATCAATCAATTATACAATTTTATATAGGTAAAATACAACCACAATCATCCCTAACAAAAGTTATTCCACTTAATATAATCATTAAGCCACTTCGGCACAATCCTCCATAGCAAAAGTCAATCAATTTAATACATAATCATTTAGCCACTTTGGCTTCTTTATTTCTTATTGGTTTTTTTTTTTGGGTGGTTTCTTGTATTTCAGAAATATCATACAATCAGTCCCTATTTTCTTGATTATTGTTAACCTCTTATACCAGTGCAATGTCTCCTACTTCTGAACTACTCAATTCAATCGAATCCTTACGTTTATTAGACTCCAAAGTCTGATTTATCTGGATTCTGATTTCCTTGCTCACATCGGAAAGGTGTTGGCGTTAAGTGCCAACAATTACGTCTAAGTTGTCTCATTTACTTAAACAAATTAAGATCTTAGCTCCTTTGCCTTCCTTACAATTACCCCATATTTCCTTAAATCTGTTACCCAAACTGGCTCCCCTGGTTTTAGTTCTTTTAGTGTAACAGCTGCCTGTTATTATAATTTGTAGCCATTTTTGTTCTATCACTATTTTTTTTTTCTAAAAATCGTTTCTTATAAAATATAGCTCGCTCATTTAATTTCTTTGAAGGAGAAGGCAAGTTCTGTTTTAATATTTTGTTAAATACCAGTTCATTAGGACTATAACCTGCTTCACCTCGAGTATTCCTACAGATTAACAATGCTAGTTGTACATTCTTAATTTTTCATTATATTTTTTCATTTTTTTGCAATCTTGACCCCTGCCTCTGCTAAACCATTACTCTGAGCATTATAAGGGCTACTTGTTATATATATAAATTAACAATTATGTACAAATTGTTTAAATTTAATACTGAACTGTGTGCCATTATCTTTTCTTACAACCTCTGGTATTCCAAATCTACAAAAAGTCTCTAAAATGTTTAATTATGATAATTCAGATAAGTCTTTTAATTCAAATATATCCAAGTATCTATAAAAATTGTCAATAATCACCATTTACCAAATATTATAATTTTAAAGGAAGTTAATGCCAACCTTTTGCCAACGTCTTTGTTGCAGGTCCTCTACTTGACAAGGTTCTTTATGATGTTTAATCTCTTGAATTGGACATTGGACAATTTTCTACAATATTTTTATTTGAGTACATAATCCAGGGCGTTAAACTCTTCTGGTGATTCCTAGATATCCTTCATGGATATCCTCCAAAATAAGTTTCTGATGAAAGCCTGGAATGACTAATCGGCTGTTATAGAAGTATTAACTTGTACACCACCTTTAGTAAAATTTTCGAAAAAATCATGTTAGATCAAATGCAATCACATTTTAATAAACATAATTTAATTCACTGTAAACAATTTGGTTTACACGGGGTCGTTCAACAACCGATACCGGTGTTGAACTTATACAACCCATTTTTGACGCCTGGAAGAACTCGCAGGATGCTCAAGGTGTGTTTTGTGACTTTTTCAAGGCTTTTGATTGCGTTTTTAATGAAACATTACTCAGGAAACTCCACCACTATGAATTTAGAGATACCGATCTGGATCTTATTGCATCATACCTGAGGGATAGGATTCAGAGCGTTGACCTTAATTGCATTAAGTCTCCGGGATCGCCGGTTAAGATAGGTGTTCCGCAGGCATCAATCCTTGGTCTTTTCCTTTTTTTAATTTATATTAATGACATACCTTACTATGTAAGGGGTAACCATGAGATAGTATTGTTCGCGGATACATCACTTTTATTTTAACCCAAACGCAAGGAAATAGTTATTGACGACGTGAACAGTTGTATCTCTAACTGGTTCAATGTTAATAAATTATTACTTAATGAAGGAAAAAGTAAATGTATGAAATTTGTTTTACTCAATGTAAAACAGGTGTAAATGTAAAGGATAGGAATGTGGGCTTTGTAGACACCACAGTATTCTTAGGGATTACTTTAGATTCTAAGCTTCAATGGGGCTCACATATAGATATATTGTCAAATAGACTTAGCTCTGCAGCATATGCCGTAATTAAGATATGCCAGTTAATGGATTTAGATACAGCCAGATTAGTGTACTTTGGTTATTTCCATGGTGTAATGTCGTATGGAATTTTATTGTTGGGATTCGCCGCCGAAATTCAAACTATTTTTGTGCTGCAGAAGAGAGCTTTTCGATCGATTTTTAATCTTAAAGTTAAAGAATCCTTAAGGGATAAGTTTATAAAATTTGGCATAATAACGGTCGCATCACAACACAGCTACGAAATTTTATTACTTGTAAGAAAATATATTAATTTGTTTCCTAAAAACAGTGATGACACACACTTAATACAATAAACAAAAATAAACTTACTTTACCTGCTACTAGGCTTCATAAATTCAATACTTCATTTAAAGATCTTTGTGTTCGCTTATACAATAAAGTCCCAACCAATATCCAAGAGTTAACCTTAAATAAATTCAAACAAATTCAAAAAATCACTTATTATTATATAAGTGTGTGATTATATTACAGACAAAAATGCTCCGGTTTGAACTGTTCCAATCATTCCAACAGGTTTTCTTTATTAAATAAATCATGATTATATTGACGTTGTAACAACATAATGATTTGTAAATGTTGTTACATTATACTTTTAATGTTGTAGAGTTTTTAGTTTTATGAGAGCATAAGCGACATCCCCTTTGCTGCTTGTGCTCTCGTAAGCATATTGAAGAAATTTTTTGGAAATGTTGTTATGATCAAAAAAGTAAAATGTAATGAATTTTACCAGATTTTCACGGAACGAAGGACCAGGATGACAAAGACAGCAAAGGAAACGGCGGTTAGGGGAAAGGATAATAATATTATTAACTACAAATACGTGGCACATTCAGAAAGTTTTGAAAAACTAACTTCTATGAAAAAAAAATATTTTTATCTTTGGTCTCGAAGTGGAATTGAAATTTGGTACCCCGTCAAAGTGAAGAATTTAACGATCAAAATTTTTCCGGCGCTCCTCGATCGTTTCACTTTCGTAGGCGTTGGTTCATTTTGAAACAGACAAACTGTCGACTGACGCTTTGTTTCTGGATGGTATTGATAAGTCCAGTATTCGTCACCTGTCACAAAATCGTAAACGTGCCGTGACGAGCCTGCATCAAATTTATGTATTATATCGCTGCACCAACCCACACGGGCCCGCTTCTGAGCTTCGGTGAGGATGTGCGGCACCCATCGGGAAACTATCCTCCTTACGCAAAGGTGCTCGTGCAAAATCTTGTGAACACTTCCTGTACCAATCTGCAGAGTATGCTGAATCACTTCGTACGTAATTATCTGTTTTCTTAAATTAGTTTTTTTACTTTCAGCACACTTTCTTCGGTGACAGCCGTCGTAGGCCGACCACTCCTTTGTTCATCCCCCAAAGTAAGGCGACTGCGTTGAAACTCGCTACACCAGCGGTAGATGGTTGCTTTTGAAGGTCCTTTATCCATAAAAGCAGTTCAAAATCGATCAAATGACTCATCAGGTTTTAGGACCATATTTAAAATCGTAAAAAATCATGGTATGAAAATGTTCTTGATGCAGATCCATTTTTTAATGAGACAAGAAAAATTTAATTTACTCTCGCAAAAATGCGGAGGGAAATTTGAAAATCAAACAATGGTATTTTTACTTTTAAATAATCGAGGTTTTCAAAATAATTACAAGTGGCCAGTGTCTTATACATAAAAACTTTTTTTCGCAAAACTTTCTGAGTAGCCTAGTATTACAGAAATAAAAAAAAAAGGCAGTAAGTAAAGACAGTTAAAAGAAGCAGACAAGTTAGTGATAAGAATAGAATTAGGACGGCGTGGCATAGACAAATATTAATAATACAGGGGTGATTCCTGGGACCAAAGTTCATCGCATCAGATACGTGGCTTTTATTTTATTTCGTTATTAGAAAAAACTAAAATTATATGGCTAAAGAGGGCTGAAAAACAAGTCATTCTGTAGATGAGGCACACACGTAGACCTCATAGATTCTTGGAAAAAAAAATGTTTTGGCTCGCCACGGATCTGACCAAGGGCATCACGGATCTGACGAAGTATATGAATCAAGTAATGGCGTCGCGTTAGAATCACCTGTTAGAATGCTGCAATAAAGAAAATTATAAATAAAACATCATTATAGCTGGACAAACTCCAAGGTTGCCAAGAGTGTGTGCTTTGCAAATGAAACAAACTGTTTCGCACACGACAGGTTTTTATTGGAAAGTTCGAAATTTAAATACACCGCATTAAGACTAATATAAACGGCTGTTATGAAACACTAACGCGATTCACAAACAATGTAACGCCATCTATTAAATAAAATATAAATTAAGGAATTAATAACTACTTATGGTTTATAGGTACTATTTGGTCATACATTCACTGCCCACCAAGGACTAATTGACATTACGTCCTTAAAATTTAATACCTTAACTATTCCAATTAATTACTGTATGTATTGGTACAAAGAGTAGTTTATCAAAAACCAAGAATACAAATTTGATATGAAAACAAAAATAATAATAGAACTTCATCTTTTAACCCTAGGTAACTAAACTATAATCGTAGATACATAGTAACTAAACTTTCGTCAGGCAGACTACGCAATAAAAAACATGAAAATTATCTAAAGTATTTATTAAAAATAGGAACTGGTTACATAACACTTAACTTTGGTTTAATAGCAACTGATGTGAAAGACATTTAACGATAAATAATTATTTTGCACAGCTACTATACACGTCAATATTGTGCGATCCAAAAATGGCATTTTGCATTTAATGCATCGATGTTTTGTCATCCTACGAGCCTTTAATGGACATAAGTAATATATTTTACGCACATTGGTCACAGAATGAACAGGATATTCAGGATCTGATGACTCACCAAGAATATCTTTTATCATGACCTTGATGTCATGCGTCAAAGTCACCGTTTGTAATCGTCCCCTTAGCCAAGGGTCCATAAGTTGGTCTCCCATCTTTATGACAAAATCGCGTCGTAAATCTATTGGTTTCTGTAATTCCCTAGCTTCTCCTCTTGGACCTGGTATAAAATGTACGATGTTCCCTCTCAGAGTACGAGTAGTAACTGATCTAGGTAGAGACGACCATTTATGTTTGTTATTACCAGAAAGGAATCTGGGAGTTACTTGAAGAACACGCTGGTTGCCTTGGTTTGAAGTTTGAGGGGAATTAGTTTCATGAGTGTCCTCTAAAGTCATCGGAGTCTACAATTTCAGTTCTCTGTCTCTTACTTGATCGTATGATGTCATCCTCAGGTTCTGGAGATTCGTTTGAGAATTCGGAATCAGAGGTGTTGATATGTATTTCTTCCTCCACATTATGCTCCGTCTCTGAGGTCGAATCATCAGAACCCTCCTCTTCACCTTCCACTTCTTCGATTCACTTACTTATCTGCTCTTCTTGATTTCTTAAATTAATCTAAAAATAATAAAAAGAGCAAAAAAAAATATTTAGTAGCAAATACGGAATATCTCACAAAATGTATTTTTTATATTTAATTTCGCTATAAATAGCTCAAAATATAAAATTAAATAGTAAAATATATCAATTTAAATAAAATAAAATAAAAAAAGTTCGCGGTAGCCTTGTATAAATAGTAATAATATAAAAAAAATAATTGTACATACCTTTGAAAATTAACGTACGTAGTAACTAAACTTTCGTCAACCTGACGATGATGTAGCCGTAGGTCACTTCCAAATTATCGTATGATCGCAACCGCGTCACCCGCTGAATTATTCGCACCAATCAGGAAGGTAAACAAAGCATGACGGGAACGGGGTGCGGAGAAGTAAGTGCACTAGACTTTCTTGAACAGGGGCGTAGTCGCGTGAACGAATGTTTAGTTATCTAGGGTTAAATATGGTAAATAATGTCTTTCTTATACTTCATTCAAATTCTTTACACCTTAATACTTAATAATAATAATAATAATAATTGTATGAGGTTGTGATGACGAAGAACTACCGGAGGTTTATACTGAAGGATGGCACATTGGATGTTTGCCGTGCGTGCCATCGCCCAGGTGAATCCCTTAGGCATATAATCTCCGGTTGTTCTCGTCTCGCAAATGGCGAGTATTTGCACAGACATAACCAAGTGGCCAGGATAATACACCAACAACTTGCTTTGAAATACAATCTTTTAGCATCTGAGGTTCCTTACTACAGGTATGCTCCAGAACAGGTTCTTGAAAATAGCCATGCCACATTATATTGGGATCGATCTATCATTACAGACAGGACTATTGTGGCTAATAAGCCCGATATTGTATTGATAGATCGACACGAACGCCGTGCAGTAGTTGTTGATATCGCTGTCCCCCATGACGACAACCTTGTAAAAGCTGAAAAAGACAAAGAAAACAAATATCTTGATTTAGCTCACGAGATTGTTGACATGTGGGACATCGATTCAGCAATTGTTGTACCGATAATCATATCCGCCCATGGTTTGATAGCCAAGAGCCTCGATAAACACCTTAAGAGGCTCGCGTTAGGAGGTTGGGTCAAGAGTCTGATGCAGAAGGCAGTACTTCTGGACACGGCCCGTATAGTGAGGAGGTTCCTGTCTCTGGATCCTTAACCACCGGTAGCAGGGACCCTGATCTTGCTGCCGATGGGGAACTACATTTTTGTATTTTTAAATGTTATTTTTTTAATGTTATACACTGTTAAAAATTAATATTTAGAAATATAATTTTGTATGTATATTTAATGAAATAAAGGAATAATAATAATAATAAATATTTCCAACACTCACACCAATTAGCCTAGCCCCAAAGTAAGCACTGTAAGGCTTGTGTTATGGGATGCTAAATGTCAACAAACATAAACATAAAGAAATAACATAAATTATTGTAAGTTAAAAGCAAGTTAATGTATATAAATTACAGTTTGTCTAGTAATTCATTGCGTGATAGGTAGGATACAAAGTTTATTTACAGGTCGCTTTATAAAGTTACTCTTAGTTTGTAATTTGACCACCCTCGTGATTCCGTCCCTGCCTGGATATTCTTTTATAATTTTGCCATAGAGCCAACGACACGGAGGTAAGTCCTCTTCCTTAATCAAAACAATATCGCCTAATTTTGGTGCGGGCGTCGCAGTTGCCTAACGGTATCTGTGGAAATATTGGTTCAAATACTCTCGTGACCACTTGCGCCAGAATTCTTGAGCAAGGCGTTGAGTGTACGTAAACGTCCACGGTCTTAGCACAAGTCGAGGCATGCTTGAATTCAAGACCCATGTCTAGACTTGAAGGAAATTTAGATGATCTTGAAATATTAACCCCCGGTCACTTTTTAATAGGGGAATCTTTAGTTACTGCACCAGATCAGAATTTTGAAACATCAAATGTGAGCTCTCTTCGGAGAGGTACTATTAGTTATGTTAAACTCCCATTGTTTTCGCGATTCTGCGTCTAGCTTTAAGCAAAGAATATGTATAATAATTATATCCCAATTCGTAGTTTCAATACCTAAATTGCTCAAACCACACAAACAATCATTAGCTGTGTTAAACTCCCATTGTTTTCGCGATTCTGCGTCTAGCTTTAAGCAAAGAATATGTATAATAATTATATCCCAATTCGTAGTTTCAATACCTAAATTGCTCAAACCACACAAACAATCATTAGTTGTATCAATCAATTCCTTTAAACCAATTGAGTTCTCTACCACTAGATTTTTTTGACTAAGCAAACGTTTTAAAATAAAATGCGATAAATACCTTTTATTATCGTATCTAGCCTTTAACTGATTCCAGCATCTTTCGTAATTAGCTTCGGAAATAGGTATTTGTCGAAGTAATTGTTCGGCTTCACCTGCTAAAGAGCTTTTTAAGTAATGCATCTTTTGCACTTTATCGAAATTAACATTATCATGGATCAGCGAAGTAAACAAATCCCGAAAAGTAATCCATTCAGTATATTTACCGGAAAAGGTTGGAATAACAATTTTTGGAAGTTTAAACGGTTCAGGTCTTTTAGAAACTTCTACTTTTGCACTTTTAGCTTCACTAGAAGAACCACTACTCTGTTGAAAATACTTTAATTTAGATTTAAGCTCCGTTTTATATGCTGTATACTCTTCCTCAGCTAATCCATAAATATCTTTAGATGTATATTCATGTGTTTTTATTTCTACATTATAATCTTTTACAAGCGTTTTATGCGTACCAGAAAATTCAGACCATAGTTTTTCTAATGATTCTAACCTTGTTTCACAATATGCCTCCGTAATTCGTTGTTTTGGAGACTTTATAAAAATAGTACCAGCCTTTACAATTTTTTCATATGTATCATTTTGCAAATTTACAAAGTTCTCCATTTTTATAAATATTAAATAATAAGAAAACAACTATAGTATTCAGTTGAATATCAATAGAACTAAAATTTTCAAAGTAATTTTTTAAAGTGTTTGAAACAATTGAACTCTGACAGAAAACCGGCATAGGTTCCCCGTTGGATCTGTTTTTTCTTAAAATTAGGCTAAGTCACTACAATATTATTACGAAATTTTCTAAGTCCAACTACACTAGCTCGAAATCACCAGATTGTTCTGAGTTAATCTTCTTATTGAAATAAAGCACAAATTTCCTTGACTGGGATACTGGGTTTGTATATTTAAGGGGATCGTTAAGGGGCAACCCCACTCAAGAATTTTATTTATTACCGGGAGAATATGAATTATTAAATGGTGTAGGAGCATTATTAGTATACAACTTTAGCGACAGCGTCTTAGTGTTAAATGAAAGTACATTGATTACCAGAGCTTTAAGTACTGTAAGGTGTCTTGATATTAACATTTTAGATTGTAGCGTTTCGGAAAATGGTCTTGATTTGAACTACGGTAAACATCTATCTGATACAGAGCTTTTAACACTTAAAGACCTATTGAAAAGATTCGAAAATACTTTCTCTAGTAATTTAAAAGATTTAGGATATACAAACCTAGAAAAGATGACCATCGAATTAAACGACAAACAACCGGTAGTTTATCGTCCGTACCGACTTGCGCGACCGGAACGCGAACTAGTCAAATCAATGGTAACGGAAATGATAGAGGCAGATATCGTGTGTGAGTCTAATTCGCTTTATGCTAGCCCTGTTCTACTAGTAAAGAAGAAGACAGGAGAGAAGAGGCACTGCGTCGATTATAGAGCGTTAAATAATAAAACACGCAAGGAACATTATCTTTTACCATTAATTGATGATTAACTGGATAGGTTAGCCGGTAATTCGTTATTTCTAAGTCTTGACTTGGCATCTGGATACTACCAGATTTCGGTGGCAGAAGGGTCTCAGGAACTGACAGCATTTGTTACTCCTGATGGGCAATACTAATTTAAGAGGATGCCTTTCGGTCTGGCAAATGCTCCTTCCATTTTCCAAAGAATAATAAATAGGGTATTCTGTAAGTTGACATATGTCGTTATTTACATGGATGATATCCTTATCTCAGCGCAGACTTTTGACGAGGGCATATCCCGCTTGGAAGAAGTATCTAAAACCTGCCTGAGAGATAAGTATTAACTTATCTCTCAGGCAGGTTTGACCCTCAAACTAAAGAAATGTTTCTTCTTCCAAACGGAGAGAGATTTCCTAGGTTTCCACGTATCCGGAATCGGGATACGTTCAGGATCTCGTAAAACCTTAGCTATATCAGAATTTCCGATACCTCGAAACGTACATGAAGTTAGACGCTTTATCGGTTAGCTAGCTTCTTTAGGAGATTTGTTAAGGACTTCGCGTTGTTAGCATGTCCGTTGACTAACCTTTTGAAGACTAAATTTTAATGGAAATGGACCGATGAGCATACGAAAGCATTTAACACCCTAAAAGAAAAACTGATGGAACGGCCTGTATTAGCTTTGTTTGATACCAATTTAGAAACAGAGTTACACACGGATGCGTCAAAGATTGGACTTGCAGGTATACTCATGCAGCGTGGTAATGACGGCCAGTTCAGACCGGTAGCGTATTATAGTTGGAAGACAACTGAAGACGAGCAAAAATTGCACTCATTTGAACTCGAAACATTGGCCGTTATTGCCTCGCTTAACCGTTTTCGTGTATATCTATTGGGTTTCAAATTTAAAATCATTACGGACTGCAATGTTTTAGGAACCACTTTGACTAAAAGAGAACTTATTCCAAGGATAGCACGTTGGTGGTTGCAGTTACAGGAATACGACTGTGCTATAGAGTATAGAGCAGGAGCACGCATGGCCCATGTAGATGCTGTCAGTCGAGCTCCTGTCACTGAGCTACCTTCACTTGCATTTGATTTGAATGCAATGGATGTT